ACGGTGACTGTCCCCACACCTCCCTCCTGCTCTGCCAGGCGCGGAGAGCCACAGGCTGCTTCTCCCTGAGAACTGCCTGGCACGAGCTACCCTGAAGCCAGTGGGCACAGCACCACCCAACAGCGCGAAGTTAGAGAAGAACCGGCTACCTGGCAGTTCCCTATCCGTAGGGAGCAGCCACGCCGGTGTACAAGGCCACCTTCACCCTGGCCAGAGGGAGCAGATGAGGCCTGGTCCCCACCACAGGGCAAACTGCTTAGCAACCGCATCTGGAAACAGACTCTGGCATAAGTATCGCTGTAAGAGAGAGCCGCCTCACACTGCAGACACGGCACGTCAGCCTGCCGCAGATGGGATGAGCAAGGAGAATTTCTAGCAGGACACCAGGCCGTACAGAGGGCCGTTTCCTTCGAACGCAGTGGTGACGCTTTGAAGGCATTTCTCAAAACCTAGCCATCGCCTAGGAAAGCTGTATCTATGCACACACACGTGTATGCAAACCTCATACAACAAAGAAATGCTCATCTTACCAACAACTCGCTAAACTGCTCTACAAGCCAGGTCTATTTTAGTACATACGATGAGTGTGCAGGCCAAGGGGCCCGTGCCCAAACTGCCGCCTCAGCCAGACAGCGGAATGGCTTTACCAATATTCCCCCTTTCCTTTTGGGAATGCTCCCTGGTCCCTGCTGTTCTCAGATTTCTGCCCAAGTACTGCCCGGGACGCATTAGGTACCACAAGCCGAACCTGTACATATACAGAAGCAGGCAAGGGGGTGTACAAACATCCGAGTCCTTCAGCTACTGCCCAAGTACATGCATCAGCCATAGTCAGACCTCGGATACAGATACCCTGTCTGGGGACCGGATGGGGAGAGTAACTAACACCAAGGATAACTTAGTATTGTTATTATGCTGCAATTCAAATCCTAATACAGGTTTGCATATAGGTTTTTCTGATATCAGGTAACCTCAGTGTCTTTTCTTCCCTCTGCACAGCGTCACGTCGCTTAGAAGAAAATAATTTTCTAGATGGGTATTTTCTTCCAAATGAAGTAGGTCGTCATCAGGTAATTGTATTCCCAAAAGCAGAATGGGAAAGGATTCAGGACAATCTTGGCAGCACAACTAGAGAAGCAGCACGCATCCTCGCTGAGAAGAAAGAACGGGAAGAAATGCACTTACGGTCCAAAGCTGCTGTAAAAGACTGGCCCAATAACATTATGGTGAGCACCAGACACATTTGTAAACAAGGGGGTTCATTTTCATATATGCAAAACCACCTATGGTAACATTGCTAGCTGTACTCCCTTTGTTCAACATTGTTTTAAATGTGTATTTTAACTAAACTCCATTTAAATACATTTAACATCTAACATTAACATTTCAAATTTTAAAGCTAAAATGTGAAATTAAAAAAGAACACCAAAAACCCCCCAAACATCGAGTACATCACCTTCAGAATGGCTTATACCTTTTTAATCCATGGGCTTGAAATGTGATTTCTAATTTTGTCTGTGCTGTAGGGCCTGGCACAACAGAAACATAAAGCCAAAAAAATGCGTGAAGAAAGGGAAGAGGAAGAAAGAAAGTTACTTGATTTGGAAGAAGAACAGTTCCAAGCAGCAAAGCGGAAAGAGGCTATTGACCACGCAAAAACCTACTTATACTACCAGAACGAAAGAGTGAAAGCGTTGCATGTTTGTTGACAACTTTACTTTTTAAATTCCAATTTTACTGAATTTCTTTAAACACTTCAGAACATGACAATTGCTTTGAATGTTCTCTTGCAGAGTGCACTTCTACTTACTGAGGTCCTAAAAGAACGAGATGCTCAAGTTGAATTTAAAAAGTCTAAGTCAGTTGTTAACAAAAAGAAGGACGAAGAAACAGAACAGGAACGTAAAGAAGCTGTTCTCAGAGAGCAAGAAAAGGCACATCAGCGTTATATGAACCAACAGGCACTACACAGAGATCAGCTGGAACAGTAAGTCATAATTCATCAAAAGTAACCCTAATTTGTTATTTACTTCTCACAAATACATGCTATAAGATTTTTATAGAAACTTACTAATAACTTGACTCACAGATATGACACTTAAAAAGAAAAATCCAGAGAGCCACAAAAGACCTTGCACAAAAGGGAAACGCTGTGATATGCAGTGTCTTTAAGTTGTCAACAATCTGCATTTAACATTGCCTCTGGTAGGCAACAATGTGTTTTAGTCAAATCACTATTCAAAAGTTGTTACTGAAAGTGTATTTTAACTCAGTTTTGGTCCCAGAAAAGGAAAAGCTTAAACCGTATTTTCCGTTTGTCCATAACTGGATTCCAGAGAACACGTTCAGAAAATGCATCACTGCCACCTACGCTCTTTCTCTCAGCTCTTCCAGAAACCTTATGGAGGGGTCACCAGTGGAATTTACAGGACTGGCCCTGGTGGTCTGACAGAAGGAATTAAATTCTCTGAGGAAGAGGAAAGGTTCAGCATCTTGTCTCATATATCCCAGGTCCAACACATAAATCCTTGCAGAACTTAGCATAGAATATGCCCAGTTTAAGCTGTTGCCTGCATGCCCAGAAGGAGAAGCATAGATGTGGCGGGACTTCCTGAGGAAATGTTCACCGAGGATGCTGCAGAGATAGGCCAGAACATGATGAGTGCAGTGGCGCTATCAGGTCATCCACATAAAACTTGTTAACAGTGAACTGCAAGCTGTGGGCAAGCCACAGCTGACTTCTGGTCAGAGGACTGAGGACTACCGTTACAAGCAATAATGTTATTTTTCCCCTCTGATATTCTACTCAACGTATCCCATCCTTCAGTGCAAGGTACCTATGATTACCCTACCTGCTCATTACTTCCTGCAGTCCCTAACCCATTGATTCAACTCCTTTTCCTGATTTAGAATAAAGGAGCGCAAGCATCGGGCAGATCTGGCCAAGCTAGAGGACATACGAGAGGGGGAAAAAATACAGAGATTGAACCAATTGTACCAACTGGAAATTCAGAGAAGAAAGGAAAAGGAACAGGAGGAAAAAATTGAACGCCAGCGGTTGTATCACGTAAGTCACAGGAAAGCGGGGTTCAAAACTCGTTTCCCCTTGGCTGCCTGCAGTGAAACAGCAGCACTCATGTAGCTCAGTGTACCTACTAGCAACAGGAGGCTTGCTGACAGTTTCAGCAGCACTGGATCACATCCCTGCCTTGCCAGTGGCAAGCCCTGTCTTTCCCCTGTGCTTTCAGAAAGGCCTCTTGGAGGCAGGCCCCTTCTCTTGTCTGAAGGGACATTGGCACTGACGGTTTGACTGCTCTAGGATTAAAACATCTGCTATAGACATCAAGGAACATTCTCCTTGACCTGAGAATTGGATTTAAGTTCTACCTACCTGCTGTTTCAAGCCCATTTTTCTTTGTTAAGAAGAGGGAATCATCTGAGTTTGAACATAACAGTATCTTTTTAACTTGTCTTTCCCTTTATGATGGGAGAGCATTAGAAATTTAGTCAAGACCCACTGCCTTCTCTCTTCACCTTTAAAGGCATCTTGCTAAGTGCAAACTAGAAACATCTCAGAACAGTTCTGGCCAGCATGCAAGAGACAGGTGGTTTTTTACATAAAATTATTGAAAACTCCTCTTCAGCTATGATTTGGCTTAAGCTCTGGGGCTGGCATAGTTTGGGACGTGGTGGGCCAGGAGCAGCACAGTCTGTGTATGTGTTGGTTGCACAGTCCCATTCCCCTCAACATCCCCCTCTTCCACATGTGTGAATGGGAGCAAGGGATAACGCTCACTGCACTGCAGAGCAATTTGTCTGTGTAATGGGCTGGGGAAGCAGCTGCTCGATGCTCAATTCCCCTTCTCCTTCCCTGTATCTCCTATCTGCTCCTCATGCACATTGGAACAGGGAGGAAGAAGTGGACGGAAGTACTGAGAATCCCTTTTCTCTCTTTGAAAGAAACACAAAGAGAGAGAAGAGGGAGCGATTCTTTTTGGTTCTACACCAGGCCCAGATTTTCTAAACTTCACTGGTTATATCAGGACCATTTTGCCCTCGCAGGAGCATGTAAATGACCAGAAAATCATCAAAGCAATAGAGGAACAAAAACAAATGGAAGAAGATGATCGGATTAAAGCTCATTTTAAAGCAAAGGCAACTATTGCCAGGCTGATAAAAGAGAAAGAAGCTGAAATGCGTAGGTAGGTACAAAGCTAGTGTATAAATTATAAATTAACTGAAAATTGTACTGTAATCATATTCAAGTCTTTCAGACTGATGATGTAACACAAACCACAGTTACCCTAAAAATTAAATTCTACTGATAGGGACAGTACGGAATTTAGAAGAAAATGGAAATTCTTTCACAGGTTCCTTACTAATATATGTATGGAGGAGTGATCTCTCCACCCTTCAAAGTACATACCTACAGAATTGAAAGCTCTACAACACTGATTTTCCATACGGCCTGCCAAGCCTCCACCTCCTCAACAACTGAAATCCTTGACAACAGTATTTTTGGGCATAAGCTGTATTTCCCTGAGACAGATCAAGAAAAATAACTTGACTTCTTAACTAGGCACCTATATTAATTAACTACATTGGGTTATTATTAAGGGAAGATGGCTTACCAGTTTTGCGTTGAGGGTACAGCACGAAGATACCACTGATGCAATCTAAGAGCTCCCTTCTCTTCCTACTTCTGGCCAATACTCCCAACAGTTCTCTCCTGATGGCAGAATGCTAGGCAGACTCCTCACCAAGTGATCCAGCTCACTACTGCAGAAAAAAGCTAGTGCTACAAGAACACAGGGAACATCTATTTGCTAAATGAGAACACTAAAAAAAAAGAAGTAGGAACACAAGGGGATCAAGGAGTTGGGTGGGTGGCCAGCCTGTGTGGCAAGAAGAGAGAAGACTAGGGGCAGGATCGCTGAATTTGGCAGCAGTAATGCTTCAGGTAGAGCCAGGTGTGTACCCTGCCATGTCACGGTAGCTCATGCTGTTTTGCAGACTAGCACAGGAACGTCAGGACAAAATCATCAGCCAACTAGCTGTAGAAATGAACAAGGCATTAAAGAGGGAAGATGATCGTCTTGCTAGAGACATTGCAAAAAAAGAAGCTGAGGAAGAAAAAAAATGCAAAGAGAAAGAAGTAAAAGAAAAGGCAGCCATTGAATCTATTGCTGAACATAGAGCTACTGTGGTAAGAAACCTAGCTTGTCCTTACTCCCCCCACCAAGGAGCCTGGCCCAGATCACTGCTGGTGGCCCTGGTGCCATGCATCAGCATGCTTCATCAGATCTGCTGACACCTTTCCTGGAGTCCTCTCTCCCTCTCCTACTTCCGTGTTGGGTGCACATCAGCTGAAAACCCTGGGGTTGGACACTGGCCAGCCACAATGGCTGTGCTCATCAAAGCACCGATACACGGCTGCTTCTGCCAAAGATATGACTTCCAAACTAGGAGGCTGTCTCCTCGGTTAACTGTTCTGTGTATTTTGTAAAATACAGATGAAGATGAAAGTGGAAAAAGAGAAGGAGGAAAAAGCAGAGGGTAAAAAAGAACTCCATGAATTAATGGAAAAGAACCGCATCTACCTGGAAATGGAAAAAGCCAAGAAACAAAGACAACGTGATGCAAACATGGAAGTACAGAAAATCCAGATCCAGCAAATGGTAAATCTAAGAGTTGTACCCTGGCAACCCCTTCAGAAAGAAGCATCCATCTAAACCAATGGCACTAGTTCCTGCTTGAGAGGAGAAGAGAGAGAGGAAGCTTACTGCGTTTTTTGGGGGGAGGAGTTTTTTTTTTTTTAAATCATGTATTCTTTGCATATGCAGGTGCTGGGGAACAGCCTCCTCTCAGAGCAGTGGTGCAAGTCAAGGCTGGTTTGCAATGACAGATCACCTCCTGTTCTGTGCCATTACATACTACTGCTGCCGCCCTGTACCTTCCGGGCAGGTCAGCAGGGAGCAGCAGCTAACGCTGACCTGCACTCAGCTGTGCAGTGTACCCTGTTGTAGGGGGTACGGCAGGGGAGAAGTGGGGAGAGATGATATTTGACAAGTATCAACTAACACCACCTCAGATCTCCTGTCAGCTCACCCCCTCTAAGTTTTAAGGGATAGTTATGTTGTGAAAGAAAATACTAAGCTTAGTTATTCCCTTTTCTTCATCAGGCTGAAAAGCAGGCAAAAAAACAGCAGGAAAAGCAAGCAGAGCTGGACTACGATGCTCAGAGAGAGGCTATTGCACTTTTTAAGGAGCAAGAATTTCAGAACTATGCAAAGCAAGTAATTGAATCAGAGTCCAAGACTACACATCATCTTTATCCTCTTCTCAAAGCATCCAAAGGTGGAAAAGGATTTGGACACGGACCTTTTTCCAGAGGAAGAGAAGGAATAAATAGCAGTTTTGAGGCAGGATGGTGCTGGGATCCAGTTAGCTTGTTCTAGCCGTACTACTGATCAAGAAGTTAAAAACATGGAATAACACTAAGATTATCTAGCAAAGAAAGGCAGAAGGAATTTTTGTGTAGTTAAAAAAAATCTTTTTGAATGTTATGGGCAGAGTTAAACTGTAAAATGTTCTACATCAAATATATGCTATGAATCTGGAAGTCCATCTGAAAAAAAAATGCTAGAGAACTGGTTTTATTCTCAAAAATCCCCACCTTGTATTCAGTGAAAGTTAGTTTATAAAACTTGAGATAGGAATGCATGATATGTAATTGACCATCAGTGTAACCAATTCCAGCCAAAAGCTCACTATTACTGTTACGTTTTTATTATTCATTGTTCTAAAAATCCACTGTCCCAGTTTTTCAGGCCTAGGATATGAATTCCCACTGCAAAAGGTCATACTTTTCACTAGTCTTCTTCCAGTTAATTATTTCCCATAACAGAACAAAAAAACAAACCAAAATAACTTTACAGAATCTACAGGAGAAGAAAAAAAACCAACCTAATACATGTGAAAGAATAGTTACGGTACTGCAGTTTCTATAGCATTTTGCAATTACCCCTGTAAAACAAATGTCATGCTATAGATTAGTTATATGAAGGTATGACATGGTCACAGCCCTTACAAGGTCACCAAGGGGGCAAACAGGTCCCAGTATAGCTGTCAGTAGCTACTACAAAAAGAGCGTGGCAACGAGAGACAACGTAGTTAGACTGTTCTTTCCAGAAGACTATCAGTGCTTCAACCTGCGGTAAGCTGATCCAGATCTGGAATTGTTTCTCAGATCCACAGCTGACTTCACCCTCCAACACCAATGTCACACACGCCTCTCACACTTAAAGCTTCGTTTCTTTGCTGAAACGTTATCATTGTGTTCCTGCCTTGGACAGAGTTAGGGTTTCCTATAACGACTTCCTGCACCTGTCCCCTGCACCGAAACAGGGTATCCCCCTATTCTGGGGCCCACTGGAAACTTCGGCCCAAGAAACTTGAAGCATTGCTGTGCTGCACACAGCCCCCCTTCCAGCCCCGGAGCTGCCCGTCTCTGACGGCCACACCAGAACGTGACCCACGTTCTAAAACGATAATAAATTAGGAGAGTTCTATACAAAGGATGCTTGCCAATGTTGTAGTTTGGAAAAAGGGGGTTTTGTGTGCCTTCAAGTTCCTGAGCCTGGCTTCCAACAGCAACAGGCTTTGAAGAAAGGACAGGACGCCAGCAAGAGGCGAGGTCGCTCCTGCGAGCTGCGGGCCAAGCAGCGGTTTTACCCCCCCGCAGGACAGAACAGCTGGACGTAAGCCGGATGCACCCCGTCCCGAGTGCAGCAGTCACTTCCGGGACTCCCCGGCAGGGCAACTCTTGGAAAG